GGAGGCCTCTGCAGTGTGCATTGTAGGTAGCCAACTCTCACAAACCATAGGAGATGAGGAAAGGATGAGGGAACTGGGAATACAGTTGTGTTAGTCAATTTTTTCCTTGCTGTGACAAAATGCCTAAGGGAGAAAAAAAAAATAGAAAGGGGAAAATCTTGCATACTTACTTTGGACCCATGATGGCTTCAAGGGAGGTGCCTGATCTTAATGACTCCAATGCCTTGGGCCTGAGACAAAGGCAAAGAGAATAATTCCTGGCAGAGCAAAGCAGCTCCCAGTCCTCTTCTTTCTCCTTTCCTTCTCCTGTCTTCCTTCCTTTTCTGTGGTAGGCTTCAGTTTTTCTAAGTTTAATGCTTATAGATAAATGATGGGAGATGTCCTTTTGTATATATTTTTCTCTTATTGGTCGATGACTAAAACACTGGCCAATAGAGGCAGAAGATAGGTGGGGTTAGGAGACCAAGAGAATTCTGGGAAGAGAGGCTACCAAGAGATGCTATGTAAAGACCAGGAAGATAGGACGCACCAGGCATTCTCTGGTAAGATAAGGCCATGTAGAAATACATAGATTAGTAGTTCTGGATTAATAATTATGAGAGCTAGCCAGTAAGAAGCCTAAGCCATCAGCCATTGGCCAACAGTTTAATAATTAATTTGTCTCTGTGTGCTTATTTGGGGCTGAAGGGTGGCAGGAGTTGGTGGGACGAAGCCTCCAGCAACAGACAAATTTGAAGCAGGAAGTAGAAAATGCCTGTGCGACATTTAGTCTGAATTTCCCTTATTATTTACATCTTACATTAGTGCATGACATGCTTGTCATAATTGATGAACCAATAGAGAAAAACCAGTCATTAAAGATCATAGTTTATATTTGGGTCCACCTTTTGTGATGTATACATCTTGACAAATATATAATGTTATGTCTCCATAACATTACGTGATACTGAATAATTTAGTTGTCTTAAAAATTGTATATTCTGCTCATTCATTTCTCTCTTCCCTCAAATCCCTAGAAATGATAACTTTTCTAGAAAGGTGATAATGGAAGCATACAAACGTGGTATTTTCAGGTAGGCGTAACATTAGGCAGAATGCAACTACATATTTTTCCTGTTTTTATGTCTTCATAGCTTACTTCTTTTTATTGCCAAATACTATTCTATTGTATAAATAGAGTGCAGTTTACCTGTACTTGTCAGAATGAATTCTCCAAAGTTCATGATTGCCTTGACAGCAGCACTGGGGGGTTAGAAACTCTAAACTGTGATTAAATCATAGAATCTCTATTTTCATGAATGGATCAATGATGTTACTATGGAAGTAGGTGGAAGCTCTGTCTTCATGGATGGATTAATGATGTTACTATGGAAGGGGGTGACTTATAAAAGGATAAGTGTGACATGCTTCCTCCCTGCCCCTGCCTCATGCTGTCTTGACTACCTACTCCTATATCATAGCATGATATAATAAGAAGGCCCTGATCTTTTGATTTGCTAGCTTCCAGGAAAACAATATTCTTTATAAAATTTCCAGTCTGTGGCATTGTAGTCCAGTGGAACAAAACTGACTACAGTACTATCCACTAGCATACTGAAGGACACTATATTCTTAGATTTGTCCTCAGGACTAGTTTGGACTTCCACCTAGTGTCTTTAAAGGACAGCCATAACTGTCGTCCTTTTTTATGGTAGCATAAGCAACTGCTGCTCCAACATGGAGAAGATGGAGTTCAGAATGTGTTTGGTCAACACTGGTTGTGTATCTGCTCTGCTAATGAACCCACTTGCTGCCCTGGCCTCCAAAGCCAGTTGTCTGCATTTCTAAGATTTCTAGACATCATGTCTAGATTTTCACAATGCAGTGACCACTCAGACTAAGAGTGGTTTTTTCTCGTGTTTCGAGAAATAATAGACAGGTGCAGCCTGAATTTGAAGTTAGATATCTTCAAGTATAGGTGGGTGTTTGCCATTATCCATAAAACAAAAATAGAAAATGTAATAGCAACCTAGAGGGACAATTCTATGCTGGAAGGTAATGGTCCTGATCCTATGTGGTCAGTACCAGGGAAGGTTAAGCTAAGTCAGAGACGCTTAGGTTGTATTGTAGGCAATGCATGGTTGACTGTATTGATCTTTAAAATGTATAAAAGGGCCCTCTCAAGGTATGTTGTATTGTAGTTTATAATCACCCTCTTCCCAGCCATGTGGCTCTTTTGAGTAAGCTTCTACCAGGCATTCTATGGGAGCGCACATTCTGGCTGCAATTGGGTTGGTCTAGAGGAGTCATGGATTGAGTTGAGTGAGTAAGGTACAAAGGGGAGATTTGGTCTCATGGAGTGTGGCTAGTGTAACAATTAAATTATCATGCTATTCTAGACCACAGACAGTTTGTACCCTGGGTATGAAAGAAAGTCTATGTTTACAGGGTGAGATCCAAAACCAAAACCTGCCATATTAACCTAACTTGTTTACTTCTTCTGAAAGCTACTCAGGTCTTCAGTCCAACATTCATAGCTATCCCAGAAGTCCTTGGAAGGACATAGATGATCAGAGTGTGAATTTAATACACCCCTCCTCCCTGGATGCATGCATTGGTTCAGAGATAGACCAGGACATTGAACTAGGCGAGACAGATGAAGCATCATCCCAGATAAGGGTGATGACCCAGACTCAGTTCATGTGCTGTCACCAATCTATAACATTGTTTATAGATCAACAAGATTCCAGCAACAGCTACACAGTTTCCAAAATGAAAGCTCTGTTTTGCTACTGCTGTTACCAAAGTCAGAGAACCTAACAAAGATATCATTGTACCTGTGCTGGACAATTTTATGTCAACTTGACACATGCTAAAGTAAGTCATCTGAAAGGAAAGAATCTCAATAAAGAAATTGCCCAAGTTAGATGGGGCTGTAAGCAAGTCTATAGGGCATTTTCTTAAGTAGATATTGATAAGGCAGGGCCCAGTCCATTGTGGGTGGGGTTGTCCCTGGGCCCTGGGCTGGTGACCCTGGTTTCTATAAGAAAGCAGACTGAACAAGTCAGGAGCAAGCCAATAAGCCACAACCCTGTATCTGTATCAGCTCTTACCTCTGGCCCTACTGCTCCTGTGCAGGTTCTAGAATCTGCCAGCTATCTAGAGAGCTTTGGGATAGAATCAGAAACTGAGAGATCTTAGATCTCATGGGAAAGAATACGATGATTTGGAACTCTAGGGACAGAAATTTTTGTTAATCTCTTCTGTACAGCTGTACCCTTCCAGACAGTCCCAACACAGTTCATGAAACCTTCTGAAGCCTCCTGGTTCTGTGTCCTCTCTCCCTTCTTCATCTCTACTTCTCTACCTCTTCCTCTCCCCAAGTCTCTTTCTCCCTCTTTCTCTCTCTCTCTGAATATGTGTATGCAGGTGTCCTTTGAGCCAGGGTCCACTTTGTTCTGTCTGGGTGACTCACTGACATGGCTAGGTTGGCTAACCAGCAAGCTCCAGGGATCTGCCTGTCTCTTCCTTTCCCAGTACTTATGTTACAGATGCATACTGCCACATATGTTTACATGGGTGCTGGGGTTTGAATCCAGGTCCTCAAAGTCATGGGACAGCACTTTACCAACTCAAACATCTAGCCCGACCCTGGTTCTCCTATTTTCTTTTGTATTCCAAATCACACTCCAGTCTCTGATAAAGTTTTATATGAGGGTTTGCTTTAGACTCTGAGAGCACAGGCTAAGCAGACAGAAGGAGATGATGTCATCAGTCACCAGTACATCCCTTATGACCATGGATGCGATGCAAAGACCAGGTAATTTTGTGAAAATTAAGCAGATACTAGAAGATACTAAAGGTCATCAAACTTGACAAGGGAGGGCCCCTTACCTCTTCTTTCTTATTTAATTGAGTGAAGTGGAGGTTCCTTATACATAGCATTCTGTGGTTGGTAGATGGACACATTAGGACAGATCTCCTCCAATATTGTCACTTGTATTTGCATGTTCTACACACATACGCTCATAGTCTTATAATAAATTGCCTCTTTGAACATATGTTACCATGTGGGCTCCTGCTACCTACCACCAGTCACATCCTAAGTGATACCTGCTCACCCTGTCAATGAAGTACTTTGAGAAACCATCACTGGAATTTTTGTGCTTTAAACTATTAAAGCAATCAAAAATGGGTTAAAAAGTAAGGGCATAAGTAAGGTCTACAGCTATGCATAACAGGCAACTTATTTCTATTTTATTTTAAAAATACACAGCATACAATGCCCTTTAACAATTCTGGAAGTTCTCTCAAATTCAAGGTAAACAATGCACCCTAATAAGAATAGTTTAAGAGTTAATCTCTGCCAGGCCAGCTTCCCTCTAGATGATGGATTTGTTAGTTAATCATTCTGAAGCCAGGATTAGAGCACAGTCCACAGTTTAATAAACTATTCATTTCTAACAGTGCTGAGCGCTTTCATGGGCTTTTTACTTTTCTACCATAAACAGGACTATAAATTATATTAGTAATTGTTTTTGAAAAGGACGTCAAGACTTCCGCTCTAAAATGGAGATCTGAGCCTGCACATTAGCTGCACCCCCCAGTTCCTATTGAAATGACACAAAACATGTGAATATGATGAAAAGTTATTCTGAAAAATGGTAAAGAATTTCTTCTTATAGGAGGATACCTTGGAGAATTTAGCAAAAAACTTTTTGAGGTGAGGGAGCTGAGTATACCCAGAAACATTCAGGTATATGTTTTGAATGTTTTGAACACGTGCTCTATAACTTTTAGGTGAGCATGTCCAGAATCATGTCCGCCATCTTTTATTCCATTTAAGCTAAGCATGTTTGGGAATGTAGTCCTTAAACACAGCACGTTCAGGAATGTTTCCATCCTAAAGTCCTTTCCAATGAATATACAGAAGCTCCCTTAAGGAAAAAAAAAATGCCCATGCTTCCTTTGTTCTGGGAAGGCACTGTACTGCAAATAATACCAGTGCTTGCTTGCCTTACCTGCTGTAGTGACAAATCTTCACTCCCATATTTCTTGGTTCTGCTTCTTTGGCTTCCACTGACATGAGAACCCATTGCGGTCATCTGCGATAGGAATAGACACAGGGAATAACCGACTATCCCAAGGGTAATTTACTAGAGTAAGCTAGTACGAGGAGAACCCCACTTAAACTTGAGCAGATTGAACAGGGTTGTGAAGTCTAGTATATCAGGGGTTGGGGCAGTAGGGTCTTTGGTGCCCCACTAGCAAAGTCTTTGTGGAAGCTGTCTCCTATTTGGGTTCTCCTACCCCATGGGAGGAGGAGATGGTGGCCTACCTAACCTTGTCACCACAGCAAACACAGGAAAAATAAAAATCATGAAACAGGAACAAGAAGAAAAGAACAGCAAAGTCTGCAGAGATGCTTCGAGCCTGAGTGACCCCTCCCCCGCTTCCCCGGTTGCATTCACTTCCCGTGGCCATTGTTAGAAACTGGAAAACAATTTCCAATCATTTGCCAGGGGCTGCAGAGCAATTTTCCCCCATCAGGAAACAGTTTGAGCTTGGCTGATTGTATGGAAAAGGCAAAACTGCACTAGACCTGCAGCTGTTTGGGAGAGAAAGGGTCCCTTTTGCCGCTCAAAGGTTACGACCATAGATTCTAGGGCACTGATTGAAGTTTATTGATTTTCAATTGATGAAGTACCGACAATGCTGGGTGGTAAAATTACATCCCTTAACTTTAGAGAATACTGTTTCTCATCCCAGACTCACTCTTAAAGTTGACAGGTGAATGGGTTTCTGGTAAGCATTTGTTACATTTTTCAATCTGGACACTAAATTGGTAGGTAGCAATAATATGAGGGTAATTATAGGAATCAGAAGGACCTTATGTCTTGCAGAAGCCTGGATGTGTTAGGAAGCAGGCTGTTTTTACTTGTGAATTCACATTAGTTTGCTCGAGAGGAAAGTGGGTACCAAAGAAGTGGATTTAATTCAATTAAAAGAATGTGTATGCAGGTTTTCTGTGAGGCAAGATACAGTGCAGAAGGTCACAGGAATGAGGGCCACTTTCTCTCATTCCCTCCCATTTCCTCCCATTTAACTACCTCGTCATTAATTCCATAAAATCCACCAGAGAATTCTCTGCTCCCAGGGGTCTATCCTTTCTCACTTCAGTTGCAAACAGCACTTCCCAACAGATGAGTAAGTTTTATTCCCCTTGCTGCTGGGGGTGGAGGTGAGGAAGGAGAAACTATTCCTCTGAACTGCTTTCTCGAGTTGTCTTTTTCCATATTCATGAGCCAGCCTCCTCCCATCTCTCTGCAAGACGTTCTATAGCAGAACACTCATTAAAATGTACCTTGCAAAAAAGCCTGAGCCTTCAACCTCTGAATCTCAGTGTCTTTATCTGTAGAATGGGATTAATAATTCATCCACCATGGGGTTATAAAAATAATTGATAAGATAACAACAATGAAAACATGTTTTAAGATCATACGATCTTCAGGGCACAGAGACAGAGCAAACTACCGTGGCAAACTCAGACTGGGAATCTAGCATCACCGTTCACAGCATGATTCTGGCTGATCTTTTAAATCTTTATTTTCATAGATTTCCCTGTTGGTAAATGTAGATATGAGTATCCAGTTCTTAATGGATGCATTGGTACACAATATGTTGCTATTATCAGTTTAGCATGTCCTTGCCCTATAGAAGAGCTTTTCTGTGTCCTCCATAAAGAAACTATCAGTATGTGCAATGGTCCATATGGAAGAGATATGGTGTGTGGGAGAAAATGCAGGCCAATGTAGAATCTGATCCATTTTCATGTTGGGCCTGCAGCAAAGGAAGAAAGCTCAGGTGAAGTCTTGGAATTAAGAAAAACTGAAGGATTGAATGGACTGGAAATACCCACAGCACCAGCTGTAGCATGGGGGAGGTACATGCTATTTCTCGCTGCAGTTTTGGGCCTAGCTTTGCCATTCCAAACTCTTGTGGATCTCAGTCCCCGATCTCTGATATTGATACCTGAGAGGTATGTGACTATCCATCCACAAAAGGATGCTGTGTGAGCTGGATGGAGAAGCAGCACAAATAGCCACTGTGTGTTCTAGTCAGACTAAGTCTATCAGGGATTTTAAGGACTAATGAGATTTTGATATTCCCCATACCTTATCATTCATAAGCCATATGTAAGACTAGGAAACAAGCAGTTATCAAGTATGGTGGTACACACCTACAATTCTAGCACTTGGGAATTGGAGGAAGTAGCATCGTAAGTTCATGACCAGCCTGGCTCTTTTATGGAAGAAAAAAAAGTAATAAAACCCATTAAAAAACAAAAAAACCCTAGCTATGCTGAACTGAAATTTGAATTTTTTTTCCGTCTCCTGACATTGAGATGAGTTCCTCAAAGGAGTCTCCCAGCATCTCAGTGCCTCTAGCATGGCCTTAGCTGTCTGGAGGGCATTTAAGCAATCCCACCTTACCCTCTCGGCCATGGCCACCACCCATGTCATCTCTCTTGCTCTGGAAGAAGGTCCTTTAGCTGTCCCTCGGCAGCCTCTGCCACCAGGCCTCATCTCTTCTTATGCTGAAAGCTGTCTGGTTTCTGCCAATACAGAGAAATTAGAATATGCTCTGCACTGGGGAAGTAAAACAGAATGGGTTCTGTTGGGCTCTAAACCTAGACCTTAGGCACAGTATGAAGGTGTTGACCCTGCTGGCCTTGATCCTCCTCCAACAAAAGCTGAGAACTGTGTGGAGGTGTGGAGCCCAGGAATCAGAGCCCCAAATATGGCTTTATATCCTGGCTGCTTTGCCTTGCAGACTCTCAGTGTTCCTTACGGGATTATTTGTAAAGAGTAGCTGCAGGGGTGGAAAGTGGAACAACAGGGGTTCAAAGCCAGCATGTGATAGGTGGGAGCTTTGGTTTATAAAGAAGTGAGTTCCTGTGGCATTCAGATATGCTCATGCCTTTCACCTACCACCACTTCTGCTTTTCCTATAGCAAACTCTGGGCTGAATCCTCACCACCACAGAGTGTGCCACAGAAAAACAGACCAATATGCCATATGATGGGAAATCCCTTAACGAAATAGGTTGACAGGATCATGGAGGCCCAGAATCTCCATGACAGGCATCCACATGGGGAGACTCAGAGAATACAATAGAACAGCTCCAGGCAAATGCAGGAACTGCAGAACCAGGAAGCCTGGTCCAGTCCCCATCAGAGAACAAAGGCCCAAGAGGGGAAGGGAGCAGCCCTTTCATTTTATTCTTCTTGTTTTATCCCATGGTGGATTGGGTAGTGTTGGTATACAACAAGGGAGGGTCTTCCCACTCAGTTAACCTATCTCAGGGCTCAAGCAGCAGGCATGTTTAAGCTCTAAAATTGACAGCAATGGCCTGATCTGGGCTTCTGGAGACCAGCTAGTTCTCCTAGGGCAAGTAAGTGAGGAAAAGAGATAAAGATGCCCTGGAGTCATGCAAGCAAGATTTTCTAATGGAATCCACTAGGTGTAGAGAATTGCTTGAAAGGGAGACACTCTAGTTTGACTTGCAAGAGAAGGGCATTTTTGTACCTGTAGCCTCTGTTTCAACAATTTAAAAAGATAGAAAGATCACAGACTCAGAAAATGTTTACCAGCATTTAGATTTATTTAATCATAATTCTAGTCATGGGCGCTGCAATGACTCTGCATAAATGGATGCTAGAAGAGTCTCTAACCAACCCAGGGACAGACATGTCTAGTTCTCATTCCATTCCTCATGGCCAGGGACTTTACAAAGGTAACTCCAGAGTGACATGGAACAGGAGAAGCCCTGTATTTGGGATGGCCTAGCACTGGAGAGTCTTAATTTGTTTATAAAAGAGGCTTGAATTCTCATTTGGTTCTCCCTTAGTCCCCCAGGTGCTATAGCTTGTTCTGGTCCCAGTGCCCAGCTTGGTGTTTGCTGTATAGTGAGTAGATAGTTACCTGTTACCTGAAGAGGAGTATTGTTTATCAACAATAAGTGACATATTCCTTGATTCTTCATTAGCAGCATGTTGAAATTAATACAAATAAGCACCAAGTTAGAAAATCTGCACAGAGGCAACATTAAGCCTAAATATTATACTTAAAAATTAGAAAGTGAATTTGATGTCTTTGCTCTAGCTTCTACGGAACATATCCCCTCTCCAAACAGGAGCTGGTTACAAACTCTCCTCTTGCTTCACAGTGAAAGCTTCCATTATTGAGAAGTCTCACAGGAATATCAGGTCAAAAGTGTCGGGTACAGACTCCTGCCAAGGCAATGTGCTAACCTTATTGAGGCTGCTACTATTTCACCCTGAGAAAATTAATATTCAGATCTCATTCAAATGAAGCCTTCAGGGGAAACTGCCCAGTACATAACAATTGATTTTTCTGAAGAGCACCACTAGTTACAGGATATTTACTCCAGTTGGTAGTCTGGCGGCCTTCTGATGTATCTGAACCATATTTAGAGGGAGATATGAAAAGCAGGACAGTATGCAGAACTATAATCAGGAGGTGAATGATAAGATCATTAAAAAGAAATAAAGCAGAATCCAGCTAAAAGTACAATCCAAACCCTGAGAAGTGGAATCCTAAAACAGAGAACCCAGTGGGGTTAGATAGCATGATGATATGAGATATCGAACTTCATCTTCCACTTGAAGATTCAGCTAGCAAAGATACTTTCAGAGTAGGTTAAATAAAGGGTTCCTGTTTGAAAACAAGGCTGTGTTGGTGATGGTGTGATGGTGAGAGTTTACAGCAAAGGAAAATCCAAAAGCAAAACAAAAAGATGCAGCATCTTTTCTGGGTGTCCTTCCTAACATCTATCCACAGGTCTTCATCACTGATGTTTCCCTGAATCCTTTCTGGGATCCAACCAGCAGCTGCAAGCTTTCAGACAAAAGATACGCTAAGGCTCACCAGCGACCACATCTACAGCGACTGCCATATAAACACTACCAGGAATAGAAAGGGCCAGACAGGAAAGGAAAGAAGTCTAGCTTATAGTGGCTAATTAAAGAATTACTTTGGATTAAAATGTGCTCACAGGGTTTGCACCAAAGATTACAGCCATG